TGAGAAGGCGGACTTCTTCCAGGATCGGTTCTCGGCTAACATGTCCGAGGACTCCCACGCTACACTGACTATCCAACCTGTGCAGCTTGGGGACTCAGCCACATATTTCTGTGCCAGCAGCTTGGATCACATTGCTACAAAGTCACTTCCTGCCCATGCATAAATTTCACAGCTCCTGCAGGCTCTCTCAGACACACTCTGCCAAAGGGTGGGAAGGGACTGTGGTTGTATCTGCAGGTGCTTCCCATGAAAGTTAACCACTAACTCCAAGTGCCAAAATGGTAAGTAGAAACATACCTGGGGCCACGATGTGTCTTTGCACCTACACTCACTGAGATGGGGAAATGAAAACAAATTGTGGTCAAGTAACAGAGGACAAAAGAGGATTCCTGCAGGGGAAAGTGGTTTAGAAGAGGAACAACCACCTCAGTCATACTGGAGCAATGAGTACTATTTTCTTTAAGATGACTTAGTTATCATGTGGTCCAGTTATCGTGTAGACCACAGTGATCCAGTTTGAGAAAGCCTGTTGGGACCATTGACTAAAAAACAGCTTCAGCTAATTCTCAATCACTCTCAAGTCTTTGAGTCCATCTGTTGTAAGGATGACAGGTTGTCTTCATGTCATTTGTACCGGGATTTCCTTGATCACTACCACCTAAGATGATGGGATAGTCCCCATCTTAAACACAGCCCAGGCCAGGCTTCTTCAGCCATGCCAAGTGTGAGTCGACTTAGCCTTCCTTAACAAAATACCATACAGTGGGTAGCTTTAACAACAAACTCCTTTTGGCATGGCTCTGGAGGCCTGCGGTCAGGGTTGGTCCGGTTCTGGTGAAGGCTCTCCTTTTGGCTTGCTTACAGCCGTCCTTCTTGCTGTGACCCCATATGTTCAGAAGAGAACAAGCAAGAACTTTCCTCTTTCTCTCTTTTTAGTTTTATTTTGTGAGACAGAGAGAATGTTCCCATCTGCTGGATAGCCTACATACCTGCAAAATCTTGGGCAAAGTTAAGTCAAAACTGGGAGCTAGATGGTCTCCTATGTTCATGGTGGGAACTCAGCTCCTTTGAGCCTTCACCTGCTGCCTCAAAAAGCAGAAAGGTGGCTTCTGACGCAGAGCCAGTCTTCGGACCAGCATGTCTGGTGCGAGACACAGGCATTGCAAATGGCAGCCTTGCTACTAGGCCAAATGCCAAGCCCTCCTGCATCTGTTTAGCAGGCAAATTAACCTTATCAGACAAGAACTTCACCGTTATGATCCAACTTAGCTTGAATTATTTCCATAAAGTTCCTGTGTTTAAAAACTGCTACTTCGGGGCTTGAACAGATGGCTTCAGGAGGACATAAACATGCAGTTCACAAAATCAAAACAAAACAACAAACCTTCAAATCACTGAACAGCAGTCCACCAGGGGGCACTGTGGCACCATTGAGCCCCATATGGTGCTCACTGAGCTGGCTGCTTGGAACAAGGAGGGTTAAAGAAGAGCTTTGACACCTTTTCCACCACAGATTTTTATGACAAGTACACATACTTGCAGGTGTGCTGCTGCCACCAGGAGCCATGGTCTTCAGCTACACCACAGTTTTAGAGTCTTTCTGAGCTTGGAAGGAAGAGTGAAAGGTGAGTGCTGAAACACTGACTTTGGAAAGAACAACTGACTTTGGAAAGAAGCCAAGGAGGAGCCAGAATGGTGCACATGGCTCATGTAGCCTGAGCCCAGCACAGCCTACAGCAAGCCAGCCCAGATCCAAGTGATACGGGAGAGACTTTGCAGGACAAAACAGAGGTCCTGAAGGAGGGGAGCCAGGGACACAGCAAGAAAGGCAAGTTACACAGGAGCCTTCACAGACCATGATGTTAGAGCACTGACCTCACAGCCCAACATCCAATCAGGGAACAGATGACCAGAACACCAGCCCTCCTAGAAACAGAATGTGTTCCAGGTTCTGTCCAACCCTGCCATGAGCTCCAGGTTCCGCTGTTATGTGGCCACTTGTCTATTGGGAGTGAACAAATCCTTAATAAGGTGGGATATCTTTGGGGCATGCATTAGCCAAGGAACTTTAAGCTTTCTCTTATGTTCTTTTTTTCTCCAACTTCTCTTCCCTTGTTTCCCAGGCCCATTGATTCTGCTCAACAGAATAGGGGGATAATGGAGGCCTGTTAGGAGATGACAGAGATCAGTGATTTTTCAGGATAATCCTCCCAACAGGAAAGCACAGACCAAGAACTCAGCTCTCATCTAGGAAGACCAACGCTGAGCACAGAAAACTTGCCCTAGTGTGCCATGGGTTCCAGGCTCCTTCTTTAGATGCTACTTTGTCTCATGGGAACAGGTGAGTTATGGGGCCAAGAAGAGCATTCCCACCCTGAACACACTAATTCCTCAATCTTCCACTTCCCTTGGAGTTATGCCCTTGTGTTCTCTCCTCTGCTCAACTCCATCTGCTTTGCCCACAGGACCAGTATAGGCAGCAGAAGTTACCCAAACGCCAAGACACCTGATCAAAACAAGAGGGCAACAAGTGACACTGAATTGTACCCCAGCCTCGGGCCATGACCGTGTGTTGTGGTACCAACAGGGCCCGGATCACGGTCTCCAATTTCTGTTTGATTATTACTTGGAATCACAGAGTGCAAAAGGCAATGTCCCAGACCGGTTCTCAGCTCACCAATTCAGAGACTACCGTTCTGAGCTGAGCGTGAGTGCCCTGGAATTAGAAGACTCAGCTGTGTATCTCTGTGCCAGCAGCTTATAGCACAGCCCTTCTGAGTCCCCAGCCTTCTGTGCACAAACCTCTTTCCCCAGAGTGGAGAAGCCTCAGAGTTGACACAGCTGAGAGCCTGGGCCCTGCAGGGTGCAGCAAAACTGGTGTCAGTATTCTGAAAAGTGACACCTGGAGCATCCCCACCACTGGAGGGTAGTTCTAGCAAGACCATCGGCATCTGTTGAGAGTATTGTACCACCTTAGAAGGGACTTGATGCAACAGGCCATCCTTGTGTTACACTATGCCCGACAAGTGAAGAGTAAAACTTTATGATTTAATAGCTGAACTTTCTTTTGTAGAGTGAGAAATTTCATGCTTACGTCAAACTTGCTTGTTCATAGCTTTAGGCAGACTCTAATACCATAGGAGTTTACTTTATAAAATTGAGGGGAAGGCATTGGAATTTAGAGAATATTAAAGCAGATGACCATAAAAATTAAACATTGACACAGACAGCAGATGACCAAAAGTCGTGTTCTATGCACAGTGAACTCCCCTCTCTCTCTCCTCCCAAGGTCAAGTAAGCAAAGCCTTGTAGCAACTTGCATCATAACACAATTGGTCTCAGTTGAAAAAAATCTCCAAATGCCAGCTGCTCAAGAAACTGGAGTGCTTGATCCTGGCACCAGAGTTGTTCCGGAGGACAAAACCAGATGCTTTCCAAAGCACAAACTAGAGCCTGCCACCCTAGGCATGGCAGGGCTGACTCTCCAGTTTCCCCAGAATAGATTTTGCCTCCCTGGGACAGGGTCTGACACTCATCCTCGATGTACTTGCTGTGACCACACGGCTCTTTCGAGGGAAGCACATTGTGGAGCTTTCCTAACACTCAGTCACATTTTCTATCCTTACTAATTTGTGTTTATCTTCTCATGGTCTATAAGGGTCTTCCTGTTCCCCAATACACTGGGAACAGACTCCGCTCATCTGCACATTCTAGTCCCCACCCGCCTACCCTGGCATCCCAGATCCTGGATTTTGTCTCTTGCCTAAACACTCTGCTATTCATGACATGAATATGCTAATGCCTCCTTATACAAAGACCAGGGATATTATTACCCACGTGTAACCTTCAGAGAGGGCTCCTCTCACCTGCAGATACACGTATCTCAGTTATCCACAAATTCTGCCAAACTTCGAGCAACCGTGCTTTTCTAGTGAGTATCGAAAAGTGCTTTCAGCCCCCGACTCCACAGTAAGTATATCTAAAACTGGAATTTGGCAATGCTCTTCCAATAAAGAAAAATATGCTATGGTAATATTTATCTAGTTTCACGAGCCTGTAACAAGAACATTTCCTCACTGCAATTACAATGCTAGAGATGCAATGATTTGGAAATGCCATTTAAAGGTGCTTTTGGAAACGAACCTGAAAAAAAAAGTGAAAGAAAAATTGACTGTGTTTTGCTTGGTAATAGACCATTATCTTTATAGCCACTTTTAAGATAAAATCTAGAAGCTGTCTGTAAACCAAGTATCTAATATGTGGCAAGAATTCACTTAAAGACTCCACAGGAAAAGATGTCTGTTGATAGAAAAAGCAGTGTAGAATACAGAGCTTCCAGGCTAAGCCTTCTTAAATGCTCCAGCGGTTGTTTGTATGACCTGTATTTATTCAAGATCACCTCTCATTAGCATGCTCATGGCAATGTTATAGTTTTTATTTCCTCTTGAATTATGGTTTTGATTTGATTCTTTGGCAGGGAGAGGGGTGTCTGACAGGCTAAAGGTAGAGTTGAGTATTATGAGTATTATTTCCAAATGAGTCAGTCCGGGAAGCAATCGAATAGATGTGCTGGGATATTTCTGCTCCAGGTTTTACCACTCCAGAGAGCACTCACTGTGTTAGAGGTGGGATTTCCTAGAAACTGCATTGCTGGCCACTTGGAGGTGCTGTGGGCTGGCAGTTGCACTGTAAGGGCTCCTGGGAGGAGGGCTTGGAAGGCAGGCTCAGAAGAGAAAGGCAGAAGGGAAGACTTGGCTTCTGTTTGAACCCAGAGGCTGATGTGAAATTGGTAAGAGGGTCCTTAAATACATGGACACTGCCCAGGGAAGGGTGAGGGTGCCATGGATCGCCACAGAAAGAAGGAATTTATCTGTGCCTGCATAAGGAATGGAGGTAAAGAATTGCAGAAACAAAAGTTGAGGAACCAGTGTCAGAGCCAGGGACAAATAGAAGGAGAATGTGTAAGGAAAAAAGTATGTTCTGGGCATGTGAGAACTGTAGTCAACTTTACCACCTCTTGGCTGGGAGGGGCAGGAAACACAGGCAAATAGGGTAGCAGAATCTGGGTCCTGCCTTACAGTGCGCTGACTCACTGTGAACTACAGCGAAAGCAAGCTTAGTGCTCCATCTCAGCCAGTGCTCCTATCCAGGTAACAGGCGGTTCAGAACCTGAGGACACTCACCCTGGAGACCTCACCTCTGAGCATGGAGATGCCCTGGGTTCCTGATGCTGCCCTGGGATCCAGACTCCTCTATTGTGTGGTCCTTTGCATCCTGGGATCAGGTGAGCTCTGGTCCCAGCTCGCTAACCTCTAACCTATGTCTGTTATTGTCATTAAAATGCCAGCTTGTTGAGACTAACAGCAGCAAGACAGGTCCTGCTGGCTCCTGCCTTTAGCTGCTGTCCTCTCTCCCACAGGTGCAGAGGATTCAGAAGTCATACAAACCCCAGAACACCTGATCAAAGCCAAAGGTTATCAAGTGACACTGAAATGCTATCCCATGTCTGGACACTTGTCTGTGTACTGGTACCAGCAGATCCTGGGCCAGGGCCCCCAGCTCCTCTTTCAGTATTATAATGGGGAGCAGAGAGATAAAGGAGAAGTCCCAAACCGCTTCTCAGCACGGCAGTCCAAGGACTATCGCTCTGAACTCAACCTGAGTGCCCTGGAGCCGGGGGACTCAGCACTGTACCTCTGTGCCAGCAGCGTGGCACAGCCCTCTGTGGTTGTCAGCTTTCTGTGCAAAAACTTTTCCTGTCTCCAAACAGGAAGGGGATGTGGTGGGTAGATGCTGGCTAGAAAAGAGAAAAGCATGCAAACTTTTCCCAGACACTTGCCACTGCTACTTCCTTATATGATCTAAGACTTGGATAAATCATGCAAGGAAGATATTATTTATGCATCTCTCTATTTGCAGAAAGCAACATTCTTGAGGCCTGTATCTAGTAACTACTTGAGCTTTTGTCCTTGAACATCTCTACCCTGACTGTATAGATCTGTCCCCTTATTGGGTTTCATTTTCTGAGTTCTGATTCAGGCATTGGGCAGTCATCTGTCATATTTGTCTGTGACAATCTTCCCTCACGAATCAAGGGATATATGACTTCAAGGAAGAGCCGTTATCCTTACGCTTCATTGTGACCTAAAGAAAGCTGCAATTTTCTGGACTGCAGTTGTGGTCTGGGTCAAAACATTGCTTTCACAGAGGTTTCCAGCTGTGCAGTAAAGGGATTGAATATTTGATAGGAAAGGAGAGATTTTGTATACATGACGCAATCAAGCATAAGGGAAGGAAACAGACAGCATTGCCATTCCTGGACTTTAGTTAACAAACATGCTTGAGTCCCCTGCCTTGGAAAATGTATTATTGAAATAAAGAAGTAAATGAAAAATTAAAAAAAAAGGAATCTAAATGAAACAGAATAATTCTTTTTTTGTTTATTTGAAGAAACTTACTTAGTTTCTAAATTACACAAAACTGCTTTTCCTCTTATCTTCTTTTCCTGTTTATTCTGTTTTGCCAGCTCTTTAATTTGGTTATTGTGACAACAATTCATGTGAGGCCTAGTGTCTTGACACAGAGCTTCATTGCATTTTGTTTCACTACAATGACCAAAGGTGGAATAGCTGACCTCAGGGTCCAGGAATTTTTCTAGATCCCCTTCATGGGTTGCAAGACCCACACCTGCTGGTTCCCAAGATGTGCATTCATGGAAAGTTACAAGTGAGCACAGAGTTTGGGTCTGAACTCAGGCATGGACTTGTCAGATACACATGTCTCAATCATGAGTGGGCTGCTAGGCCAGTACTGCTTACCTGTGGGTTGTGGGGAAGATTCTCAGATCTTACTAATCTTCAAAATCCAAACTACCAACATTCGACAGTAGCTTCACATTGTGTCCCTGTCAGCTCCTGAAAATCTCCGTTCTATTCTTTGATTCAGTGGGCCTGAGTATTTGAGATATCTCATATAAATGAACTTCTCTTGTGTGTCTGTGTCTTATTTCAACTAGCATTGCATCCACATTCATCCATTTTGCCGCATATGGCAGGATTTCCTTAAAGGGGGGGGGGGGACTTAATAATACTCCACTATAGGAGCTTGCTCTGTTTTTAGATCTGAACTACAAAAATGTGTAAGATTTGACTCTGTGGAGTCATTCATTTCAAAAGGCTGATTGCAGATCTAGAAGCACTGTGTACAGTAATGCATAATTATACCTTGATTCTTTGTGGTCAAAAGTAGGAAAAACAATGTAGCTGTCATTTGTTGACAAGCTATTATATAAAAAGAAAGTCCCGGGACTGGCATAGTGGCCACAGGCTAATCCTCTGCCTGTGAGTACTGGCATCTTATTTGGGAGCTGGGTTCTGTCCTACCTTCTTCACTTCTGCTACCTGACTATGGCTTGGGAAGGCAGTGGAGGATGGTTCACGTTCTTGGGCCACTGAACTCATGGAGGAGATCTGGAAGAAGCCTCTAGCTGCTGGACTTGGTTTGGCTCAGCTGTGATCATTGTGGCTATTTGGAGAGTGAGCCAACAGAGAGAAGACCTCTCTCTGCATCTCTCATGCTCTCTCTGTAAATACACCATTAAAAAAATCTTTTAAAAGATCTTTAAAAACATTTAACAAGACAAAAGACTCCAGGCTATAGCAATATTTAGTTAAATACAACCAGTGGATTAATAAGGAAAGATATAATCACAGAAACAAAATATAAATGGAGTTATAAGCTGTTGCACAATGATGTCAAGGAGAAACATTGAAACTTGAGTCGATTCAAATGCATTCTTCTTGTTCTGAGTCCTTCACTTGTACACACTTGTTCATTTTGCTTTTGTACCTTCTTGGGAAAGAGGTGTGTCTTCTGCTGAGAGGAAGGTCAGCGTCCTAGGCATTGACAGGGCAGTCTCAGAATAACTCAGTCAAGCGTTCTGTTCTCCTTGTGCCAACATTTAGACCAAAAGGCCTGGCTGTCCTGCCCTTTCCTGCCATGGGTGTCAGCCTCCTGTGCTGGGGGGCCTTTTGTCTCCTGTTTGCAGGTGAGGCCTGGAGGGGCTCTCAAGGTCTTGGTGCACTGGGGCTAGGTCATCATCTTTGTCCTCTTGTATAGGTGCAGCACATGCAGGGGTCACTCAGAGCCCCACATTCCAGATCCTAAAGGCAGGACAGAGCCTGACGATGTCATGTACCCAGGATCTGAACCACAACTACATGTACTGGTACCGCCAGGACCCAGGGCTGGGCCTGAAGCTGATTCATTACTCAGTTGCTACTGGCACCACTGAGAAAGGTGAAGTCCCCAATGGAAATAATGTATCTAGACCAAGCATACAGAACTTCCTGCTCATCCTGGAGTCAGCTGCCTCTTCACAATCATCTGTGTACTTGTGTGCCAGCAGTTACCCACAGTGCTGTACAGGCACCTCCTCTCTACACACAAACCCAGGGCAGGCTCCATCTCCACCTCCTGAACCAGATTATAGCAGTGCCTCATTATAATTTCCAACAGGTGCTTCCAGAGAACCTGGCAAACAAGAGATCTCCTGAGTAGTGGGAGTCCTTGTCTGTGTTGAGGTGCATCATCAGGCAGAATCAACCAGGTGTGTACTCATCCCTCATATCAGCTGTCTCCATTCTAGCTCCCTGGTCTTTCTCTGATCTCTCAGGAAGGGATGGTGATGGTTTCCTTCAAGCTCTACTTTTGTCCCACTGGCTGGAGTCTGCAGACAATGAAGTAAATCAAGATCTGTAATTCCAGTACATCCAAGTTTCTGCCTCTGCCTGCTGTTGCTTACAACGCAGAGGCTACTCTCAGAGCACTTTGAAACTCCAAGTCCCAGGCATGTGGACTTACTTGGCAACCCAGAGTGCAGCAGGCAGGTTTAAGCTCATGTGTTTGAGAGACCAGAAACGGTTGCAAAGCGTTCAGACTCTGGAAGCTCTTCACACTCAATCCAAGCCTCTTACAAACTTCATGGGTCAACACCAGACAAATGTATCTACACCACTAAGAATACTAAAGGAAGATATATGTGATAAAGACAATCTGAAAATAAGATGTCATAGTTTAAAAAGCTCAATTTTAATGACTGGAAAAGGAAAGTCAAGCCTGCCAAGATGCAAAAAGAGACGTTATGAATAATATGATAACTGGGGGAACTCCTGGTAAGAATTTTAAAATAGATGATATGTAATTAAAGAAAGTTTTGTTGGTGTCAAACACAGATGAGAATAAGTTACCTGGAATGCAGTACAGCAGACACATGCATAATAGGAAAGGGACCCTCACTACAGGAAAGGCAAGATGGAGGCGTCTGTCGTACCAGAACGTACTCCATGCTTTATTATGTGTCTTGTGTCTTTATGTATGAGTCACAAGTCATCAGTGTTTAAGAAAGGAAAATTATAGGTAGTCTCATAGCATTGGGGAATTTTCTAGCTGTGATTAAACACTAAAATCTCTTGTTGTAAATATTCGGTTGCATTCCAATTTTAAGTGTCACACTGAATGTACAGGAATTGAAATAGAGATATTTTAAAAGCAGTTACAATGAAAATGTATTGAGCTCTCCAAGACATGGGCTGAGAGTTCAGCAAACAACAGAAATTGGGATTAAAAACAGTCATTAGTGAAAAACTACAGTCCGTATTCAATTAAGAATGATATTGAGTACTTAAATCATGTTGTCAGTAATAAATAAGGAAAAAAACTGAGTTTGCAATTGAAAGAGTCTGCCCAAATTAAATTGTAAACAACAGATAATGATCCCAGGATAAAACATGATCTGCAAATAATTAGCTGAATTTGTTAGTCATTTTGAGCATGTGTGCTTGGGAAGATGAGGATGACTCCAAAGATTTAAATCAGACCTCAAACCATCACATCAGGTGAGTCTCGCATTCCTGAGTATTGGGATGTGACAGAGGAAGTGATGTCACCTGCAAACCACTGTGTGGGAGCAAGGACGCCCCTCCTACCCTTCTGTTCCTGCCCACAAGGACCCTGACCTGGTGGAGCCTCCCATTTCAGCCCTTCCTGCCATGGGCAGCAGGCTGCTCTGCTGCGTGGTCCTCTGTCTCCTGGGGACAGGTGAGTCCTCAGACATGAAGCAGTCTCAAAGTGTGTGCGCTGTGTGTGTACTTGAGGCAAATGTGTTGTTGGGCATATGTATGTGTATATTGTACTGCACCCACAAGACCATATATGAATGAGGAGTACAATCATTTTCATCCTCTTTTCCAACCGCTGTCTCCACAGACCACACGGACGCTGGAGTCTCCCAGGACCCCAGGCACAGGGTCACAGTGAGGGGTCAGAATGTCACTCTCAGGTGTGACCCAGAGTCGGGCCATGCTACTCTCTATTGGTACCGGCAGACCCCAGGACAAGGTCTGCAGTTCATGATTTACTTCCAATATGAAGCTGCATCTGACCAGTCAGGCATGCCTGGGGAGCGCTTCTCTGCTAAGAGGCCCCAGGGATCTTCATCCACCCTGAACATCCAGCCTGCAGAGCCCGGGGACTCAGCTGTGTACCTCTGTGCCAGCAGCTTAGCCACAGCGTGGCACTGCCAGCTCCTTTCTGCTCACAAACCTCATCCTTCTGTGTCCTGGCAGCTCTGAGGGACCTTCAGTGGAGGGTGGTTTTTGATCTTCTCACCTCGAGATAACGAGGTAGATTTGGAGCCCTGCCACCATTTC